GCGTTCTGAGTGCGCAGAGGATGAGTTGCATTTAGAAGACCACATCAAGAGCCGTGTACCAAGTACTGAATTGTCCAAGGCTGAGGATGGAGTGCTGGAGATGGGAGAGCTGGATGAGGAGAAACCTCCTGATGACGTGACGCTACATTACTCTATCCTCCGCAGATCGGCAACTATTAAATCCGCCCAGGGAGGGCCACCAGCAAGTCCGGTAATGCAAAACTCGCGTGCTCAGCAGACTAGGAAAAACCAGGCCCAATCTGTCACCATCACTAATCCTCTTGCTGTATTTGAACAACCTCCCCTTTCACCAAGGTCTACTCGCAGTCGTCAAAGGCCAACGCCCCATGGGACGCCTCGACTTCAGAGTAGAGAAATTGTAGATAGAATGGGCAACCTTCAGAGACACGGGACTTCGGCGGACCAGTATCTGCTGCCATCAACGCCCTCAAAACGTTAGTCTTAAACATAGGCTGACGAGAGTTGACACTGCGTTTTGTTTATACGCACATGCTTCTGATTAACTGGAGCCGATTCCAAACAAAGAAATATACCGACTGCACATAGGTTATTGCATTTGTATTTGCGTTGGAACGTCGAGCGCTTTTCAAAATGTAAATAATGCCCAACGAAAAATAAAGCTGTTTGCGTTTTCTGATGTGTGTCAGGTTCTCATTCCTTCCATACAATTAACGTCGATAAAATGCTTCATTAAAGCGTCCAGGAGATAAACGCCTTTCTGCCAATCCATAGCTTGTACTAGGACTTCATCTGTTCGCATGTGATTAAAATAGTCAACGTAGAAAAATTTTGAATTCCTGCACAGAAAAAGTGTTTGCCGTAAAAGAAAGTTCGTGCTGTCATGCAGCACATGGAGGATTCTTCCGCATTAAGATGGGCCAGAGTTTTTAATGCAGTTTGTTCGTATAAAAAGTCCGGTAATCTTTGCGTACAAACTAATCTTAATGAATTACCTGAAGATAGAGGTTTCAGTTAACCAGAAATGGTTTCTGTTGTTTTTGTCTATTACGGGACAGGAACAGGCTAGGAGAACTTCAAGGTTTTACATTTAATATTTATACTTTAGAAAGTAAATAAAACCCAGAAATCGAACGTGCCCAGTATGTGGCGAAATGGAAGCGTAAAAATCATGGAGTTGAGGTAAAATGCACTTTTATCTGCTTCTGATTACGGTTTAAGCTTTGATCATTTTATATATATCATACTTTCATTTGCATTCTGTCAATGCCAGATTTCCACATTTCGAGTATGCCTATGCCACCTATTTGCCCGATGAATCAATGGCGAAAATATTGGAAAATAAAGTCACCAGTCAATGGAAATATTTTATTCGATTTGGCTTATGGGGTCTTCATTTATTTGCGTGCCTCTGTAGGGACGATTTGGCAGCAGAGGTTTTTCCGCCACGTCCTAGTGTGTCAATAACTGGTCGGGCTATACAATTCGAGTAATTACAATTATTAAAATGTATCATGCGTTTCAGATTTTTCCTCTATAATGCACATAAATACTTGTTAACCTTTCCCACCCAAACGGCTGAAACAGTGGCATAGGGTCGTGTCTCGGTTGCAGAAAGAATTAAGGTTCAAATTTTTGTACTAGTCACCGACTGAACATGGTGATTTCACTTTTTCGCGAAATCCGAAATTACAGCGAACTTCTGGTATACAGGGTGTCCCAAAAATGTGTACATATTTTAAATATCTGTAAACTTGGTGTTTATTAAAATTTTATTATTTCAAAAATGTAAAAATATTTACAATTACCTTTATATTGTTTTTTTTACCGCACATTCTCGCATTATGCAATGATGCCGTTGGAAAATTTATATCCCAAGATTTGACCATGCCCTTAATGACGATTATGTAGACCAAAAACTATAGTATGGTGCGTGGTATTTAGGAAAATATCTGGATCAAAATGGAACGCAGTTTGACTAAATGCACTGAAAAAACAATAAAATGATACTTGTAAATATTTGTTACATTTTTAAAATAAGGAAATTATAATAAACACCAAGTTTACAATTAGTTTAAATGTGTATATATTTTTGGGACACCCTGTAGTAATCAATAAGCAAGGAATTATAGTTCATATTTTTCTCAAAAGATTTCGTTTCAGACGCACATATAACTCGACAAATAAATCAAGCCTTAACCCGCTAAAAGTAAATAATATTTAGTAAAAAGAGAATATTTAGCTGGGATGGCTTTGGGCGTGATTCACACACATTTCTAATAAATATTTGAGTAAATTGAAACGATTTCGTGCTTTATTTCGTGGAAATAACGTAATATTATATGTTCAAATAAATGAAGGGTTTATTCGTATAGATAGAGTGGGAGAAGGCGTGTTGGTCACCGGAATCATAATTATATTCGTCTGAGCTTTCGGACTCTTACTGGAGTTCATCCTGAGTGATAGAAACAACAGTTACAGGGAGCACGGCCAATCAACCGCCAGTGTCTGCGCAGGGCGATGGGTTCGGACGCCAGATCGATAAATCGATTGACTGAGTTGTCATCCGAGGTTCAAGTTTCAACCAGTTTGTGGCCCCCTTGTTGCCGATGTTGGCAACTGAGTAGTTCAACTCGTGACCCGTTTCATAGGTGTGGGCAGCCACTTGCGATAATGAGTCACCCCGTCTGACAAACAATTTGACTTTGTATCTGCGCGGACAAAGCATGCGTCCAATCTGTCCTGTGTAATTTCGGGGACAGTTTAGACGTACTATGCGATACACTACGTCCAACTGCTCACTGGGATTTATTTGGTCCTTGAATCTCCTGACCCGGCTGCGCAAGGTAGCCTTGGGACGGTTGTGCAATTCCAACGCCTATTCCCACAGCAATGCGCTCGGTCAGTTCCGACACATCCTTGATGTACGGCAACGCATGCCATATCGTTCGGGTTGGTTCTAGTTGGGTCCTTGGAGGGCGAGCACGTAGGTATCGTCTTATGAAGGCCTTTGGATAGTCATTCCGAATAAACTGGTCGCGGATATATCGGCTCTCAAGTGCTTTTGCTTCCCGGTTACTGCAGTGAGTCTAGACACTTTTGAAGAATATTCTCACGCAGCTTCGTTTGAGAGCCATCGGATGGTTGCTGTGAATAAGATTATGATCGACATGCCTTCTCCTTGTCTATCTTTACACACACCTAGGATGCGAACATTTGCCGCAATTCGTGAAATCATTTGTGCCGGACTGTTGCCGGCAAATATTCCAGGCTTTGGTTCAGAAAATATTCTTTGGCATTCAGCTCTCCAAGTGGTGGATGTTGGTTAAGCACTGAAAACCGTCATTGGTTAACATAAATTTTAAGTCATTCAAGCAATGCTAGGTTGCAGATATGCCCTGATGTAATTAGCACATTAGCTCCTGTTAGAGCTGAACCTCATAAGTTCAGTTAAATAAAGGCTCCTTCATTAGAAGCTGAACCACCACTGCTTGTTTAAGTTCTGAAAATATTCCCATGCTTAAGTTGAGAAGTCAAGTTGGCAAACGTATGTTTTTAGCGGCGAACGTACGGGTGTTCTGTACTAACTCTCTCCTCCTACGATTGGGAGGTAAATAACCGACTCCATGTGCATTTACTATTTCACTTGCTCCTGTGGAGCAGGACATATTGGCCGAACAACGGGGCACTTAGAAAAGGGGGTACGTGAGCACATACCGGCCTGGTTAAGTACAGGTGAAGGTAGATCGATTTCGAGTTCTATTGTAGCACATCTTGTCGATATCAATCATCGAGTCGATACTAACGAAACCTTTCAGGTTGTCTACCGGACACCAGCTAACTTTTTCAAGAGCCTGTGCCAACGGGTGCTTGCAACAGCGGAAGCGGTGGCTATACGGCTAGCGAATACAGTGATGTGTTGTCAGAAGGCGCTAACACAAGCCCTTGCATTTCCGTGGCCGACCCCGACGCCAGGTGGCGATCGCATTTGGCCCCCACCCTCCAGTGACAGTCGCTCGCTTCTTGCAAATAGCAGCTATTATCACTCCATGTATCTGACCTCTGATCAACGCCCGCAACCTAACAAAATTATTCCTCCTCCCCTAACACAAGAGCCTCCACACGCCGACCTTGCCATGCCAGCGAAGTGTAAACGATTAACTGTAATCAGTCTGCCCTTATAAATCCTGCCCAACTGTACAGTTTTCACTACCCCTGTAAATGTTTTTGCCTGACGAAGATTGCCTGAAAAACTGTTTGCCAATTTGCCTTCTTATCTTTCTTTAACTTTTGTAAACAGTTTGTGGTTGCTTTACCTACTGACCTTAAAAACGATTTACTTTACTGACAGCAAAGCTACTAGCTAAATGCCCAGCCACGCTTGTTTTGCCGATCATGTTACGCTTGAAGCAGCTGCAAGATGGTTAGATTATAACTACGTCCTGCAGCGTTCTTCGTGTGTTTTCTGATATATTAGGTCCAGTCCAACTACGATGTGCATACTTTCGACTACCTAAGAGCAGCTTGTGAAAATAAATGGTTATAAAGCGGTAACTGATTGATTTTAGCTCCGTATTCATGCTGCGTCTCGGATGGAGCCATAAAAAGTGTCTATTCCGAATAATTAACTCCAAGATTGTGCAAACATTTCCTCCGAACGTAAACAACAGACTTATTTCGTTGTCTGCCACCAATCGTCAGTTGTTAATTTAAAAAAAGAACTTGTGTATTAGGTTGTTCTCAACCTGTAATCAAATGCTTTAATAGTCGACTCCTAGTTTAAGTAATTTTGAGTTTTTGCCTAACGGGAAATAAATTAATTTTAGTTATGCACGAAAGATACAAAATATTTTGTTAATTCTTACTGTTTTATGCACGTAGGGGCTCTTAACGGAAAAGGATAAGTCGGAGTCGACTACTGATATTCGTAGTCAACCTATGACAATATACCCTTTAAATATATGGTCCATCCCGTTTCTCCTTTAGAAGAAGTTGAAAAACACTTGTTTCACCTTTCTGGGAGTAAGATAGACCTTTCGTCCAGAAAGAGGTTAAAAATCGCTGGATTAACTCTTAACGTCGTTATTCCGCATAGTGATCAGTGCAGAATGTTTCTCGCGCGAAGCATTATTCTAGCTTCAGTAATAATGCGTTCAGTAATGACATGTCCAGACAAATGTTGGGCATATTTCGCGCAAGGCAATTTGATCAAGGAAATCAAACAAAAGGCTTTTGTTCGCCCTTTTCAACTGTATGCTCAGTAAGTTCCTTATATAAAAAAAATAAATGTTGATGTGCTTTCACTCCCCTTAACTCCAAATTTTGGCAGCAAGAAAGATCCACAAAGAAGGCAGCCAAACATCTGAGCGTCGACGATAACTTATTCACACATTCAGATTAACCAACATAAATCAACTTAACCAACTAGCACTTCCTCGTGCTAGATTACATTTCAGAACCTGGTATATCGAAAACTGAAAT